GTACAGATAAATGTGAGAGATCAGAAATACATTTACCACATTACTTAAACTTGTAATTGCATCCTAAGGTGTTTACTAAAGTTATCAACCTGGGAAAAACATTTACCACATTGGTCACATTTGTATGGCTTTGCTCCTGTGTGAACTCTTTGGTGAATCTTTAAGTAACTCATGTGGCTAAAACATTTACCACATTAATCACATTTTTACGGCTTCTCTCCTGTGTGAACTTTTTGGTGAATCTTTAAGTTACTCATGTGGCTAAAACATTTACCACATTGATCACATTTGTACGGCTTCTCTCCTGTGTGAACTCTTTGGTGAATCTTTAAAGTACTCATCTGGCTAAAAAATTTACCACAAGTATCACATTTGTAAGGCTTCTCTCCTGTATGAATTCTATTGTGTATCTTTAAGTGGCCAGATTGGGTAAAACCTTTACCACAAATATCACACCTGTAAGGCAATTCACCAATATGAATTTTAAGATGTTTTGTTATTTCACAAAGAGTATTAAAACCTTTACCACATTTGTCACACTTGTATCTCTTTGCTTCTAAATGAGTTCTATTATGTTTATTTAAGTTACCAACCTGGGAAAAATATTTACCACATTGGTCACACTTGTAAGGCTTTTCTCCTAGATGATTTATAAGATGCCTCTGTATTGGATCAAGAGTTGCAAAACATTTACCACATTGGTCACACTTGTAAATATTTTCTCCTTTATGATCTTGAAGGTGCTTATTTAATTGACCAAGAGTTGCAAAACATATACAACATTGGTCACACTTGTAAGACTTTTCTCCTGTATGAACTTGAAGGTGCCTATTTAATTGACCATGCGTTGCAAAACATTTACAACATTGGTCACACTTGTAAGGCTTTTCTCCTAGATGAGTTCTAAGGTGTATCTTTATACGATAGAATCTTGCAAAATATTTACCACAAGTTTCACACTTGTGAAGCTTTTTTCCTCTATGAATTCTACGTAGTTGATGAAAGTTTGATAACTGATAAGAATGTCCACTGTTTTTAACTGTGAGATCCAGACCCTTAATGTCAGGGATTTCCATTTCATGTTTGTGTTTCAGATGTGAATCTAAATAGAAAAGATTTGAAAAAGCCAATCTGCAATGCTGACACTGATAGATATCTGTTAAAATATCTGTAAAAGATATATGACAGCATTTAGGGTTTGTACTGTCTTAAATAGACACAGTGTGGCCAGATTATAGAGTGCTCGACTGCTAACCAAAGTCTCAAAGCCCCGCTGTCATTACTTTCCCTAACATGAGATAGGTACCCATCAGAGTTGGGTACATTCAAGGACAATCAACTAACTTGAACTCTGATTTGAACTTGAGACTTCTGGGGTTAAAAGCCTAGCGCTCTACAGTTTATGCCACATCGTCCCTTCAATTATACATTTTCTTTTCTATTTTGTATTGTCTGATAAAGTCAAGTAAGAATTGTAAAAATTGTTGTCAAACGGTAGAACAAATCGATTTTTGAAGATATTAGATATCAGAGATGTAATAAAGAACAATCAATTCAATAAAAATAAATGAGTTAACTCTATTTACCAAAGTTATTGTTCACAACACCAATCCTCTGTACCTGAATACTCAGGTCTCTGTTATAATTGTCAACATAGTACACCTGAAAATTTGAGAATACTAAACTATACTAGTTAAGTAAACTCAAAATTGATTCTCAGTAAAAATATACTCTTCTGAAAATGTCAAATACTGTTCCATACTAGTTAAATAAAGACATTCAATCCATTAAAACAGACGGTGTGGTGTCGTCAGGCACTTCTAACCAAATCAAATTTTTATTATACTTTTCATATAAATCAATGGTCAATTTTATAAAAATCCAACTTTAGACATGTCTAAAAACTAATATACTCTTCTGTGTCATATGCACCTAAATGCTTCTCAGTGGTGGAACAAGAAGGGCCCTAATTCACCCCCTGACAAAAATTTTAATCAAGCCTTTTATTTTATTTATATGGGTACATTTATATCTATTTATAAAAAAGGCTTAAGTTATGTTGTATAGCCAGCAGACTATATCCACTATAGAAATGCAAAGGCCTCAAACAGATCACGTTCATTTTTTCCATACTGGTGCATTATAAGACTTGGAGTGTTGCTTATATTCATTATTTCAGTTAGGTTTGAGTTAGGATACGTTAAAGTTGGATTCACTCAACTGCCTACTTTTAACAGTTAAAAATTAAAAACCAAAATATTACATATTCAGTAAAATTGCATGTGAAAAGTCCAAGTAAGAAGTTTTAATACTTTCAATGCTTAGACTTAATCATTACATTTAAATATTTTGTCATAAATAATAAAATAACCTCTTTTATATTTTGTAAACAAATAATAACTGATGTTAATTTTCAATTTTAAATGTTTTCCCTAAAAAGTGATCTGCACTAGATATTATTGGATTACTCTGCCTAAATAAGGACGGTTAAGTTCACTCCTTATTAAAATGTACCAGATTGCTATTACTTGCCTAATTAGTTAAACAAGATAGTTACCTGTATCTCTGTGCCAGCATCGATGTCCCTAAGGGCCAAGTAGTATGTTTCACCATTGTGCTGGTATGCTGTGACACACTGCTCATCCTCATAACGTGCACAGTTTACAAATCTCATCCAGTTTGAAATAGAGCTGTCACTGGCATCAACAAAATGGTACGGCCTCCCATCCTTGATGAAAAATAAAAAATATTACACTTTGTTTTGCAGGAAAGTAAAGTTAAAAAAAAAAAAAGAAGCTCATTGCCTGATGAAATGTGTTGTTTAAAAATCCAAGTTTAAACAAATACAGATTTCATGGAGTAAAAGATCTCAGAAAAAGTTGGCTAAGAAAGGGATAGCATCAAATCTTAGTAAGACTTCAGTTTTTAATCCTGAAAATTTTAAACTATATTACTTTGCCTTCAACCAGGCAAATGACATATTTACTTTTAAAAAACAAATTATTTTAAAATACCCAAATAAAAATAAAATAAAGCAAATTATATAGGAAAATGGTTGAAGCTTTTTGTGTGTAAATTAAATAGTTTACCAATAATAAATAAAAATAATATTCATCCCAGAAAAACATAAATAAAAAGCTACTTCTGACATTAAATAAAATATTTATTTTGAATGCTATAAAAAAACCAGGAGAAATCTCCCTTAAACTTTCTTTTTTGTAAACTTTTTTTTTGTATTCTTATATAACACTATGGGCGATGGCACCTTGGAATATAGACGGTATTTTAAATCCATTTTTAATTAATTAAACTTTTTAAAATAGAATAGAATCTCGTAGAAAAAAGAATTGCGCACCAAGTTAACGCCAAATAAAATGTGTATAATAGAATATTATTAATGCTTTATAAATTTACAAGCATTTTTTGAGAAATCAGAAATAGCGTAAATTACTATATCTAATCAATAGAAATTACTCATAATTTGATAGAAGGCAGAGAATTACTTGCATGTGAAATTTCATTTATCTATCTGAAACAGTACTCAAGTTATAGGCTGTTGAGAAATTGAAAGTAAAATAAGTTCCACTTACGGTTATCGGAAATTGCTGAAAAGTTGACACAGAACTACAAATTTGATATAATACTTAAACATGAAATTTCATCAACCTAGCTGTATCGGCACTCAAGTTATCATGTTTACAGACACACATATAAACACACACACACCGAAAAAATTGCAAAACTATGTTTTTCCAACTCAGGGAGGTGTAAAACGTTGAGATCTGTGAAAATCTCGATTTTTTTTTTTACAATAATTTCTCTATACTTCATATACGAGAAAGTAAAATTTTAGTCACTGGAACTACTTTCTTCTTTAATATCATAATACTAGTCGAATTATTATTATATCCTGATTCAACATCTGAGGTCATTTATTTACTTTTATTTACTTAATTTACTTTTTAATTTTAATATTTATATTGCCTATAATTTTTAAGAAAAAGTTCTTAACTATAGGAAAAGTAACCGCTAGTGAAAGCACAATGAGAAAATAATGTAAATAAAACTTATTTCACACTTGTGTGTTACCAAGTAGACTTTCATTACTACACATAATTAAATTATACATAATTCAGGGGAATATTGATGCAACAGACTGTACCACAATTCAAAATTCTAGGGATACCACAGTCAAATAGGTCTATAAAGGGTTAAACATCTATTAACAAAATGTGTTCTGGTGCTTTGAATGTACCAGAAAGTATCACATAAAAATTTTCTCAATCATTAGTTAGTAAAGGTTAATCAGATTGTGCTCACCTCCCAACAATACTCAGAGCCATGTGCCATTTGCTGGATGCTCTCTGTCTTCACATCAAATGCCCCAAACCGTGTCCCGGCAGGAAAAAATCTTGTGGCAAAAACTCCAAGTCCAGCGCCAGGTATGTCTGATGTTTTAATCATCAAGCCTGGGGGCAGAGTTGTCCTACAACAATCTTTGTCCTCACCATTGATGCAGTCTGTTGAAACCTGCTCAACAATACAAAACAATATTATAGATGTTCTGTAATAATCTGCTTCTGTCTGTAACTTTTTAAATAATAATACTTTACCTAGGCCTACAAGGGATCAAAGTCTGGTTAATATTATCATAATATGTGTTGGTAAAATGAAGATAGTTAGCTATGTTACGTATACGGTCCACATGTTGTTACTGAAGATGCAAGTAGACTAGCACTTTTGCCATTTTAACGCATCATCAAGGTCTGTCAAAGTTTTCCATTGCCACAGCTCTGAGCCGTAGAGCAGGACTGCTTTAAAGTAATTTTAACTAATTAATGTAAAAATCTACTCCAGGAACCAAAGGTTTCCACAAAAAGATAAAACATATTTAATTATTTATTAATATTTATGCTGGTGTCGATTAAGATTTTTACAAAAGGCATATTTGTAATAGTATATTCTGGGTATAATCTCTCAAAGTAGAAGTTGTACTTTACCTGTGAATCTGATTCAATTTTTATAGGACCATGTTCAGTGCAATATCCTGTGTATTCCATGCTGCCCGTTTCACAAACTGAAACACAAATGATTGAAATGTAGGTAAAATCACGATATAGCGTCGGAAATTATTGGGTAATGTTCGTTGAGTTTCGGTAACATTCGTTACTGTAAACCATACTTTATTTGACCGGTGAAAGAAAAATAAAGTCAAATGCATTAAATTAATGTTTTAACTTAATTTAATGTTTAACTGACAAAAAATTAGCAACAATTAATAAAGTCAAGTGTAGTAATTAATGTTTTTTTTTAGGAAACAGAAAAAACCTGCAGAAGATTTGCGACAACCAGCTCTAGAATCTAGTTCTGTTAGTAAATAAGACGATTAGGCTAGATTAACTAAAGTTAAAAGTAGTAAGAATAAATAGAATAATGTTTAGTAGCAGTAATAATTAGCACATACACTTAAAATAATTAGAAATACAAAATAATTAGCAAAACAGTATTTAAAATGCAACTAAAATCAATCCTTGCACATTTTTAAACATTATGTACTAAAAATAATATGGCGGCAAATAAATGATGGTTTACAGTATTTCCGGTGGTTTCCGGAACGGCTCGACAGACTACGCCTTGGTTTTACTGTTTTTTACTGCTGTACAGTTCCGGAATAATAACCGACGCTATATCGTGATTTTACCGAAATGTATGTATAATTAATGTAATTTTTGTAATGTAAGCAATTTAAACCACAGTCACAGCCTCACAGACAAATGCAGTAACAGTTGAACAACAAATCCTCCTCAATATGTGAAATAATTATTAAAATTTAAGGAGTCACCTGTTTTTCACATTACAAAACGATAGATTACCGATAAATCAATAAATTGTCCTGAAATTTTCCTTTGACAATAATGTTAGGAATTGTTCAAGAAAGTAAAATTAAACTTTACTCGATCTAGAACAGCAGCCATCTTAAGTCTGTCTTAAGATTTTAGAGTAATTTCCCTTTAATTTAATATTTATGACTTACTAGCCGTCCCGGCCAGGCCCTGCTCTGGCTTCTGTGAAAAACCTTTCTGTTAAAGACCATTACCTGTGTGTTTAGTAATCATCATAAACCCGGCATTGCCCACCCAAACCACAACCAACCAAAACAACAAAACGCAAACATAATGCTAACACAATTACAAATACAAAAGAAAACAAAAACCTAACAACAAACCCAACCACAACCACAAACACCAATACAAACACAAAGAAAAAACAAACAAAAAAGCAAACGAAAACAAAAACCTAACAACAAACCCAACCACAAACACCAATACCAACAAAAAAAAAACAACGAAAAAGCAAACGAAAACAAACCAAATCCAAACGCAAAACCAACCAAAAACACAAATACAAACCCAAACAAAAAAACACAAACAAAAAAGAAAAAAGAAAGAACAAAAACGAACCAAATCAAAACGCAATCACTAACGCAAACCCACCTAAACACAAAGAAAACACTAACGCGAACATAAACGCCCGGGGCGGAATCACCTGTTTTAGCTTAATGAACTACTATAGTACCCCAACTTATTCATAGTCTTTTGCACTCACTTAAACGAACGCGCCTGTTTCAATTTGATGAACAATTATAATACTCCAAGCTTATCCGTAAAATACCTACAACATTTGCACTTGATCAATCCCCGCTAATTATGTAATTATTTTTTTTCCCAACACCAAAACAAAGTAATTAAAAAGTAAATTCTTTTCCACAAAATGCAATGGTTTTATAAAGGGAAGTAATTGTGTTTTCCTAATTTATCAAAGGGAAGTAAGTACTATAGGACTAAATAAAGACATAATTAGAATTGTTGTAAAAGATGATATTTTTTTAAAACTTGTGTTTAATGAACATGCCGACAATTACTATAATTTGAAAAATGAAAATTATTTCCCAACACTTTCAATAGTAATTTTTAACTCATAAATTTAGACAAATGCGCACGATAGTTGTCTAACACTTAAATCCATCCAAGACCAACGACAAACATATGCGTTACATACAGAACTGAGCTTTATATATTAGATGTGGATACTAGCCGTCGGTACTCGTTACATCGCGGTTAGAGCGGTCATCCATTAATGACGTCCACAAAAATTTGGAATTTTAGACCCCACCCCTCCCCCCCCCCCCCCCGTCCACACGTGTCCACTTTCAATGAACCCCTCGCCTCCCCAAAAATTTAGTAGACCTCTTAAAACATGCAGCAAAAGTACTAATTCATTTACATTCAGAGGGCCCGGAGCGAACTTTTCAATTTGGCGCTCCCGTATATATATATATATATATATATATATATATATATATATATATATATATATATATATATATATATATATATATGTAACTAGGGTAGTTACCATACTATTGTAAGAACGTATTACAGTCTGATGCAACAGTTGCAGGACTGATAACGAACACCAGGCCGCTGCGCAGTTAATAGTTCTGATGCAACAAATAGTAATTATTACGAATACGAGGGGATGATGGGAAGGCGACTGGTAGAGAGAGGCAGAACCCAGTTGGTTACTGAACGGTGTAGACGTGTGTGATTCGTGAGAATAGGAACGATGGACACGTGCATTCTGTTATGTTAGGACTAGTGAGGACAGTGGGGGTCAGTTGGTTCATTGTATTCTTGTGGAACATTGGTGCATTGTTATGTGGAGCATTTCTATTGATTCATGTAATAAAGAGATCAATGTAAACCTGCATTTCCGAGTATCTATATTGTGGTCGATGTTGTGTGCTGGTCAAAGGTAGCACGAGTAAATACACTCGGTAACATTTGGCGCTGTCAGCAGTGAAATCGGTAACATTTGGCACTACAAGCAAATAGACTCGGTAACATATATATATATATATATATATATATATATATATATATATATATATATATATATATATATATATATATATATATATATAAATGTGTGTGTGTGTGTTTAAATGTGCATGTTTGTGTGCGACAGTCCGGTAGTTACTGTGCATGATTTTCGTTCCCTAAAAATTTACTCGACGCCAATTAAATTCCCCTTAAGATGCGTTATCCTTTTTAAAAAGATTAGTAATGTCAGGAAAAAAAGCCTCGGTACAACATACTAATTTTTTTAGCTCTTAAAATTTCGGCAAGAGTATCACCTTTCACCCACCCGCTCCGACCGTATGCTATTTTACTGATCGAATAGCGATACAAGAATCCGTGATATTTATTTCTCTTTAAATACAGTGATCCAAGCAAGGTGTAATCAAGTAAAAAGTATGTGATCACTTACGTTGAAAGAATCGTAAAAAGAACTAGTCTAGTCATTTCTTTACAAACTGGCTAGTGAAATCGTACATTACGCGTTAATACAATCTATATATATAATTCTCTTCTGGGAGCCGTTAGAAAACAAGCTGCAAGCGCGCCTTACAATCCCCTCTCTTCCTCTCTATCGCTACCACCCCCACCCCCTCACATGGTCTGGTGAGCTGTGGTTCACGCTGTTTACATTTTACAATCATAGAGACGGGTTTGGTGACGGCTATTAGGGGCAGATAATTTAGTTTGAAACGATTTTAAACTTAGAGGAGGTAACTAAGAGGAGGCTGCTTTCACGTGGGGGGGGGGGGGAGAAGGGGGGTTTAGTTTTTTTAAGCAAATATTTTCAGTGGCAGCATTGGTACTGTTGAATTCACAAATTATAAATTACTGAAAAGTAGAAAAAAAACAACTAAATAGCGGCATATGATACGCAGCGGGTCGGCTCGTTGGTTTATATTCTAAGTATTACACGATTTATCTAATCACCTTCCCATTTACCTTGGCGAAAAAGCGCCCTAACCCACCACCTTTTTGTTATTTTACTGTTACACTATACACTTTAATACTATTGGCTTCTTTTCTAAGTGTTAAAAGAGTTACCCACTCACCAATCCAGTACAAATCCTTGCGTTGGTGTAAAAGACCCCCCCCCCCACACACACACACATACACACACGCCTCCCCAACATCTTGGACAAAGTTGGTAGAGCGGGTTTTAACTTCAATAAATTTTTTAAAAATGTTACACAATCGTACAATACGCTTTAGTACAATTAGTTTCTTTTCTAAGTGAGAACGTTTATCTACTCACCAAATCAGTGTAAATCCTTGTAGTTTAAGTTGACGAAATAGTGCCCCACCATCTTGATAAAAGTCATTACCTTTTATACGGTTACACAAACGTACAATAAGCATTAAACAATTGGTTTCTTTTATAAGTGTAACGTTTATCAACTAACCAATCTAGTGTAAATCCTTCCGATTTTAGTCTGCGAGAAAGGGCCCCTCCCCATCTAGGAAAAGCTGGAAAGCGGTTTATGTCAGTCACTGTTTCTTTAAGGTATATGTTTTACAGTTACACAATCAAGGTAGGAAACAGTTAAATCAGTATGTAAAGGCTTGTAGCCATTTACATTTCTTAACGTCGACTGTTTATAATTCAAAACTTCGGCATAAAATCAGCTTTAAAAAATGCTTCCCTTTTGGCGCCCCCTAGGGGCGGCCGCTCCCCCCCCCTCTACCACCCGCCCTCCCCTAGCTACGCCTCTGTTTACATACACTGTGTACATTAACTGCAGTAGCAGTTTAGGTCTACAGTATTAAACACTACATTGATAAAAAATGTAATTTTTTTTAGCTTTTTAAAATTTTTTTTGGTTACCAAAAAATAAAAATAAAAAACATTAAATACCTCCAAACTTGAATAAAGTAGGGAGATATAAAACGGCGAAAACTGTCAAAGTATAATATGTTAATTTAATTATTCAGGACAAGTTCAATATTTCCTCTAATTGTTAGTTTAATTCAATATTATGAGACAGTTTGCGTTCATTGTTATTGTTTGTTAGATTCATTACATGTTTTAACGTATATTAAGTGCATTTTTTCATGTAATTAGAGATTCAATCATACATGACGACACGTTTTTTGACCTTTCATCAAATTTTCCCATTATATTAAAAAAAAAAACCTTGTTACCTGTGCGCTTTTTTTTTTTCCATTGCGCACCGATACTTTGATTACCATATTAGTTAGGTAGACCAAATTTTATACATAGGTATATACAACCTTATTCAGTTGATTCTGTCAAATTTTAAGAGATTTCGGGTGATCAAAAGTAGTACTTTTTACTATGACCAATTTCACAAAAAAAATATCACTTCTGATTGATTTCTTTAAAATATTTCAAGTAGATCATGATTCAACGACAATGCACTGTGATATAAAATGTAACTTAATTAGATATTTAATTAATTTTTGAAAAACTAATTTTCCGCTTTATTTTACACACAGTTTGCGTAAATTGCATTCATTTGGTGCACAATTCTATTTCAACTCGATTCTATTGAATTTTAAAAATGTAAGTAGATATATTAAAAGTAAAATTTCTTTACCCCGATAGCAGCGCACCCCCCCCCCCCTCGACACCAGGAACCACACAAACTACCACTGGCGTAGGCATAATAACTGCTACGGTAAGTTAAACCAGTTGGCGAAGGTGGAATTCTGTTGCTAGTGTTTAATGCTTCTACACCAAACACTCATGGTCACCTTTGCCTTTTGAACAACTCTCCCACTCCACTTTCATCTATTAATTTAGTGTCAATTGTTGTGCAGCATTCCTAGCTAGTTCTATCTTTTTATGATTCCCTTTTCTAATTAGGTTAGTTTCTGATTACAGTGTCAAATTAATCTAAGCTATTAGACTGTCTCTTTATAACTACATTCCACATCTCCATAATAAGGTACTAATAACTATAGGGTACACCCATGGGTAATCTTGCACCTGCATTTTATTAACCTGTTGCAACTACAGCACTGACTTCAACAGCATATCAGGGCACCAAAAAGCACTGGTTCAAGTATATACTTTCTACATAAATTTTATATTTTTCAATTTCATTAGGGGTTGGGTGGGATGGTGGGAAAGAAACTGCCCCCCCCCCCTCCTCTCCATAGAGATATCTGAAAGAAACTGAATACACTGATATAGAATTGCCAGCACTGTCTCTCCAGAGCAAAATAAGAATCGTCAACACAAATCTTAAGGCATTACTGCTTTATGCCTCAGAATCCTGGAGGGTTATTATTTTTTATTAAAGGTCGTAAATGAGGATGGATCGGGCATGCCCTGAGAAGATAACAACACTACAAGGCAAGCATTGGAATAGAGCCCCGGGTTAAAAGATTAGTACCAAAGCTATAATAGAAAAGGTCTGGAAGAAGAAGCAAGGGCTGCTGGGTGTCCAGGGAAGAGGTGTTGCCACAGCCCTCTGCTCAGCGGGGGACGTAATGGATTTAGTCAATGAAAATACTGATCTAGCTAATCTAATAATCAAGTTAAATTTTATAAAGTCTGCCACTCAATGACTCATAAAAAAAAATGAAATTGATTCCAATTGAGATTATCATAGCCCTGGCATAAACCACAGCTCAACTTTTGAATTTTTCTTTACCCTACAACATGTAACTATGGCCTCATAAATTTCCTGGTCTGTTAGGACAGTTAAAACATTAACAAAGAAAATCATGACATTAAGAACTTTAATTTTAATGCTAACAGAAAACAAATACAACTTTCAACAATGTTTTTTTACAAAGGTCATCTGCTGTACAGAACATACCATAAGACCTAAAACTGGCCTCAAAAGATAGGTATCACAACATTCAAGAACATATTTTAGAGCTGCATTTTTTTTAGATCTAAGAAAGGTTAGGGATAAAAAATAAAATACATTTACCACAGTAGTAAAACTTGGAAGGCTTCTTTCCTATATGTGTTCTAAGGTGTGCCTTTAAAGTCTGATTCTTAAAAAACATCTTCCACAATTATCACACTTTAAAAGTCGTTCTTCTAAATGAATTCCTTTTATGTTGCAAAGAGTTGTACTTGCAAAACATTTACCACACTTTTAAGGCTTCTCTCTTTTATGAATTCTAAGGTGGTTTTGTAAAGTAGTATTATATGTGAAACTTTTACCACATTGGTCACACTTATATTATAAGGCTTATCGCCTGTATGGATTCTGTGGTGGTTTCGTAAAGTCTGAATGTGTGTGAAACGTTTACCACAGTAGTCACACTTGTAATGCTTCTCTCCTGTATGAATTCTATGGTGCATAAGAAAGTTACAAAGCTAAGTAAAACATTTACCACATTTGTCACAATTCTAAGTCTTCTCTCACGTGTGAATTCTAAGGAGTTATTTCACAAAGAGTAGTAAAACCGTTACCACATTTATCACACTTGTATTGTTTTGCTTTTAAATGAGTTCTATGGTGTTGCTTTAAGGTACCTAACTGGGTAAAACATTTACCACATTGATCACATTAGTACGGCTTCTCTCCTGTGTGAACTCTTTGGTGAATCTTTAAGTTACTCATCTTGGTAAAACATTTACCACAAGTATCACACTTGTAAGGTTTTTCTCCTAGATGAGTTCTATTGTGTTTCCTTAAACAGTTGGTACTTGTAAAACACTTACCACAATTGTCACATTTGTAAGGCTTCTCTCCTGTATGAATTCTATTGTGTATCTTTAAGATGCTAGGCTTGGGAAAACCTTTACCACAAATGTCACACCTGTAAGGCAATTCACCAATATGAATTCTAAGGTGTCTTGTTATTTCACAAAGAGTAGTAAAACCTTTACCACATCTGTCACACTTGTATTGTTTTGCTTTTGAATGAGTCTTATGGTGTTTCTTTAAGTTACCTAACTGAGTATAACATTTACCACAGTGATCACATTTGTAAGGCTTCTCTTCTATGTGAAGTCTTCGGTGAATCCATAAGTTACTATTCTGGGTAAAACATTTACCACATTTATCACACTTGTAAGGTTTTTCTCCTAAATGAGTTCTATTGTGTTCCTTTAAATAGCGTGTACTTGCAAAACATTTACCACATTTGTCACATGTATAAGGCTTCTCTCCTGTATGAGTTCTATTGTGTATCTTTAAGATGCCAGGACGGGGAAAACCTTTACCACAAATGTCACACCTGTAAGGCAATTCACCAATATGAATTCTAAGATGTCTTGTTATTTCACAAAGAGTAGTAAAACTTTTACCACATTTGTCACACTTGTATCGCTTTGCTTTTGAATGAGTTCTATGGTGTTGCTGTAAGTGACCTAACTGGGTAAAACATTTACAACATATGTTACATTTGTAAGGCTTCTCTCCTGTATGAATTCTACGATGACGCTTAAGGTACCTATGCTTCATAAAACATTTACCACAATGGTCACACTTGTAAACCTTTTCATCAGTATGAATTTTAAGGTGCCTGTTTAATTGAGTAATCTGTGTATAACATTTACAACATTGGTTACACTTGTAAGGCTTTTCTCCTAGATGAGTTCTAAGGTGTATCTTTATACGACAGAATCTTGCAAAATATTTACCACAAGTTTCACACTTGTGAAGCTTTTTTCCTCTATGAATTCTACGTTGTTGATGAAAGTTTGATAACTGATAAGAATGTCCACTGTTGTTAACTGTGAGATCCAGACCTTTATTGTCAATGTTTACCCCTTCATGTTTCTTTTTTAAATGTGAATTTAAATACGAAAGTTTTGAAAAAGCCAAACTGCAATGCTGACACTGATAGATATCTGTAACAATATCTGTAAAAGATATATGACAGCATTGAGGGTTTGCACTGTCTCAAAATGACACAGTGTGGCCAAATTATAGAGTGCTTGACTGCTAACCAAAGTCTTAAAGCCCCACTGCCTTTACTTTCCTTAACATGAGATAGGTACCCATCACAGTTGGGTGGATTCAGGGACGATCAACTCACTTGAACTCAAGACTTCTGGGTTAACAGCCTAGCGCTCTACAGCTTAGGCCACAGCGTCCCTTCATTTAGACATTTGCTTTTCTATTTTGTATTGTCTGATAAAGTCTAGCAAGAATTGTAAAAATTGTTGTCATGTGGTAGAACAAATCAATTTTTTAAAGATAGCATTATTAGATATCAGAGATGTGTGTACTGAATATCAATCAATTCAATAAAAATAAATGAGTAAACTCTATTTACCACAGTCATTGTTCACAACACCAATCCTCTGTACCTGAATACTCAGGTCTCTGGTATAATTGTCACCATAGTACACCTGAAATTTTGAGAATACTAAGCTATACTAGTTAAGTAAAATCTAACATGATTCTCAGTAAAAAAAACTCTTCTATAGTAGTTAAATATAGTTGTCACCATAGTAACCTGAAAATGTCAAATACTGTTCCTTACTAGTTAAATTAAGACATTCAATCCATTAAAATAGATGGTGTCTTGTCGCCAGGCACTTCTAACCAAATCATAGTATTTTATTATACTTTTCATGTAAATCCAACTTTAGACATGTCTAAAAACTAATATACTCTTTTGTGTCCTATACACCTAAATGCTTCTCAGTGGTGGAACAAGAATGGCCCTAATTCACCCCCTGACAAAAATTTTAATCAAGCCTTTTATTTTATTTATATGGGTACATTTATATCTATTTATAAAAAAGGCATAAGTTATGTATGTTGTATAGACAGCAGACTATATCCACTATAGAAATGCAAAGGCCTCAAACAGTTAATATGTTTTAAGTTAAGGTTCTGTTAGAGCTTCTGTTAAATTAAATCAAGTTACAGTTAAGGAGGCAGTCCATTATTGGTATTACATTCTTAAAAGTGATGAGGTCAATTTTGAAAATATGTGTGACTAGCAGTAAGGGACAGTGGAATAAAACAGTGTCAGAAGATTGACATATTCATATTTAAAATACATTTTATTTACTCAACAGTTTAAAATCAAAAACTGTAATATTACATATTCAGTAAAATTGCATGTGAAAAATCCAAGTAATATTTTCACTGCTTAGACTTAATCATTACATTGAAATATTTCATCATAAATAATAAAATAACCTCCTTTATTTTTTGTAAACAAATAATAACTGATGTTAATTTTCAACTTTAAATGTTTTCCCAAAAAAGTTATCTGCACTAGAAATTATTGGATTACTCTGCCTAAATAAGGACTATTAAGTTCACTCCTTATTAAAATGTACCAGATTGCTATTACTTGCCTAATTAAGTTGTGGTTTGTTTTTTAAATTGCCATATGCAAAAAAAAATAATTAAAATCTATAAATCAATTAAAAGCTCTAACCCTTCCCCCCCCTTCACACATTTTATTAGAAGTACTAACCCTCCAACCCCCCATCACTCAAATTTTATGGCGTAAACAAGACAGTTACCAGTATCTCTGTGCCAGCAACGATGTCCCTATGAGCTATATAGTGCATTTCACCTTTGTGCTGGCATGCTGTGACACACTGCTCATCCTCATAACGTGCACAGTTTACAAATCTCATCCAGTTTGAAACAGAGATGTCACTGGCATCAACAAAATGGGACGGCCTCCCATCCTTGAAGAAAAAGAAAAATATTACACTTTGTATTGCATGAAGGTAAAGTTCAAATAAAAGGAATCTCATTGCCTGATGAAATGTGTTCTTTAAAAATCCAAATTTAAACAAATACAGATTTCATGGAGTAAAAGATCTCAGAAAAAGTTGGCTAAGAAAGGGATAGCATCAAACCTCAATAAGACTTTAGTTTTTAAATCTGAGAATTTAAAACTATTTTACTTTGCCTTCAACCAGGCAAATGACATATTTACTTTTAAAAAAACAAATTATTTTAAAATACCCAAATAAAAATAAAAAATAAAGCAAATTATATAGGAAAATGGTTGAAGCTTTTTGTGTGTGAATTTACCAATAATAAAATAATATTCATCCCAGAAAAACATAAATAAAAAGCTACTTCTGACAATAATCAAAACATTTTTTTTGAATGCTACAAAAATAAACCGGGAGTGGTCACCCCTAAACTTTCTCGAGTATTCTTATATAACACTACGGGGGATGGCACCTCGGGATATAGACAGTATTTTTAATCCATTTTCAATTAAGTGAAATTTTAAAAATAGAATAGAATCTCATAGAAAAAAGAATTGCGCACCAAGTTAATGTCAAATAAAATGTGTATAATAGTGTGGAATATTATTAGCACTTTATAAATTTACATGCGTTTTTTGAGAAATCGGAAATAGCGTAAATTACTACTTCTATTCAAAAGAAATTACTCATAATTTGGCAGAAGGTAGAGAATTAGATCTTTTACTTTCATGTAAACTTTTATTTATCTATCTGAAACAGTACTCAAGTTATAGGGTTTTGAAACACTGAAAGTAAAAAAAGTTCCACTTCTGGTTATCAGAAATCGCTGAAAAGTTGATACAGAACTAAAAATTTGATATTATACTTAAATATGAAATTTCATCAACCTAGTTGTATCAGCACTCAAGTTATCGTGTTTACAAACACACAGACATATGGACAAAATTGCAAAACTATGTTTTTCCGAATCAGGGAGGTGTAAAACATCGAGATCTGTGAAAATCTTGATTTTTTTTTTTGCGCGATTATAATACTTCCTCTATACTTCATATATAAGTAAAAATTTAGTCACTGGAACTACTTTCTTTTTCAATATCATAATACTAATCAAATTAATATATCCTGATTCAACATCCAAGGTCATTTATTCACTTTTCAATTTCAATATTTATATTGCCTGTAATTTTTAACAAAAAGTTCTTAACTTTAAGAAAATTAACCACTAGTGATAGCACAATGAGAAAACAATGTAAATAAAACTTATTATTTCACAAGTATAAATTGTGTTACCAATTAGACTTTCATTACTACACATAATTAAACTATACATAATTCAGGGGAATACTGATGCAACAGACTGTAACACAAATCAAAATTCTAGGGATACCACAGTCAAATAGGACTGCTGTAAAGGGTTAAACATCTATTAATAATATCTGTTCTGGTGCATTTGAATGTACCAGAAAGTATAACATAAAAATTTTGTCAATCATTAGTGAGTAAAGGTTAATTAGATTGTGCTCACCTCCAAACAATACTCAGAGCCAAGTGCCATTTGCTGGATGCTCTCTGTCTTCACATCAAATGCCCCAAACCTTGTCCCGGCAGGAAAAAATCTTGTGGCAAAAACTCCAAGTCCAGCGCCAGGTATGTCTGATGTTTTAATCATCAGCCCAGGGGGCAGAGTTGTCCTACAACAATCTGTGCCCTCCCCATTGATGCAGTCTGGTGGAACCTGTTTAACAATACAAAACAATATTATAGATGTTCTGTAATAATCTGCTTCTGTCTGTAACTTTTTAAATAATAATACTTTACCTAGGCCTACAAGGGATCAAAGTCTGGTTAATATTATCATAATATGTGTTGGTAAAATGAAGATAGTCAGCTATGTTACATATACGGTCCACATGTTGTTACTGAAGATGCAAGTAGACTAGCACTTTTGCCATTTTAACGCATCATCAAGGTCTGTCAAAGTTTTCCATTGCCACAGCTCTGAGCCGTAGAGCAGGACTGCTTTAAAGTAATTTTAACTAATTAATGTAAAAATCTACTCCAGGAACCAAAGGTTTCCACAAAAAGATAAAACATAGGCTATTTATTTAATTATTTATGCTGGTGTCGATTAAGATTTTTACAAAAGGCAAAAGTATAACCATTTAGGCATATTTGTAATAGTATATTCTGGGTATAATCTCTCAAAGTAGAAGTTGTACTTTACCTGTAAATCTGATTCAATTTTTATAGGACCATGTTCAGTGCAATATCCTGTGTATTCCATGCTGCCCGTTTCACAAACTGAAACACAAATGTAAGCAATTTGAATTTAGGGCCTAATGAATTTATTTAAACCACAGACAAATGCAGTTGAACAACAAATCCTCCTCAATATGTAAAATAATTATTAAAATTTAAGGAGTCACCTGTTTTTCACATTACAAAACGATAGATTACACAATAAATCAATAAAATGTCCTGAAATTTTCCTTTGACAATAATGTTAGGAATTGTTCAAGAAAGTAAAATTAAACTTTGCTCGATCTAGAACAGCAGCCATCTTAAGTCTGTCTTAAGATTTTAGAGTAATTTCCCTTTAATTTAATATTTATGACTTATGTGGATACTAGCCGTCGGTACTCGTTACATCGCGGTTAGAGCGGTCATCCATTAATGACGTCCACAAAAATTTGGAATTTTAGACCCCACCCCTCCCCCCCGTCCACACGTGTCCACTTTTAATGAACCCCTCGCCTCCCCAAAAATTTAGTAGACCTCTTAAAACATGCAGCAAAAGTACTAATTCATTTACATTCAGAGGGCCCGGAGCGAACTTTCAATTTGCGCCCCCGTATATATATATATATATATATATATATATATATATATATATATATATATATATATATATATATATATATATATATATAAAAATGTGTGTGTGTGTGTTTAAATGTGCATGTTTGTGTGCGACAGTCCGGTAAAGATTTAATAGTTACTGTGTATGATTTTCGTTCCCTAAAAATTTACTCGACGCCAATGAAATTCCCCTTAAGATGCGTTATCCTTTTTGTCACAGACTGTATTATTATGTATCTTTATTATATTGTGTTTTGCATGAATGAAGAGTACCTGGCTAGCGGAAGGACTGTCTGAGCGATCGTCATGTGTTTTTCCGTGTTTTGGGTGAGATCGCTCATTGACGTAAAGGGAGAGAAAGTTGTGAATAAAAGAGAGAGCAAAAGGTGAACGGGTGTTGTGTGCTAGGACTTGGGACTGGAACGATGGCAGTGAATGTAAGATGTCTCCATGACTTGGAGTCGTGATTATTATTTGTACCTATATCAGTTGATCTTCAAATATGGATGTACCACGGATTTATCTGTACATAGTGTAAATAAAGTTGTCATTTGAAGTTGCCACTGTTGCTCGTGTTCCTGTATGAAAGCTAACCCACAACAACAGAGAATTCATGTTGTTACATATGGTGTCAGAAGTGAGCGTCTACTGTTACATATGATGTCAAAAGTGGTTGAAGAAGTGGTGCTACTGTTACTGATTCTACTGTTACATTGTCAGAAGCAATTGAAGAAGTGATGTTGTTACATTGGTAAATTATATTGAAGTCTGAAATCGTCAACGAAGTTACAGTGTTATTACAAGTGATCAAGAATTGTCACATTATCATTGTAAGCAGTTTTCAACGTTTTTGAAGTGGTCTTCCACTGTTTACCAAGTACGTCAAGTTCTTGAAAGTCATCTATCTACACTCAAGTCAGAAGGGTTGCTGTAGTCAAGTCAGACGTCTTGTTCAAGTCAAGTCATCAACGTGATAATTTTTATCACCTTATTTCGATATTGTCTCACCAATGTCGAGTAAATATCGTCTGTGTGTTTTTTCTGTTTGGATTTAGCCGATCAAGTCTTAGTGTTTCTTTTCTACTGTTTGGATTTAGCTGTTCAAGTTTTTTTCTATATGGATTAGCTGTTCAAGTTTTTCTACTGTTTGGATTTAGCAGATCAAGTTTATTTTTGTAACTGTTCCTAAACTGTTCCTAAAGATGTCTTATCTAAAACTGGACAAATTTCTACTCTGTAACAGGCTACTAGAACTATTTTGAATTTTTTTCAACTTTTTGGAATCAACAAAGTGAACTATTTTTGGACGTATATATGTACTATGAACTTTTCTTGGATTACCAGATGTCTGTAATCAACTAAAACAAGCGAGAAACCAAGAAAGGGTATTGTAAATTAATTAACATTTATCTATTGTCAACTAATGAATTTATATTTTATGTCATAGAAAATATATCAAAATGTTATGTTTTGAAGAATATCTAGCACTAGCGAGGGCGCAAGGCATTAAGAAGATGAAGAAGCAGATAGCCTGGGCAAACACTCGATTTGACAGAGACATAGAAAAAGCATTAGAAGCATGGGACGAAGAAACAGGACGACCCCGAGTAGCTCATGGAAAAGTAATAAGTGAATTAGATGATGAGATAGAAATAGAGTGTAATAGATCAAGAGCTATTACAGACATGCAAAAAGAAGAAGAAATGTCAGATGGAGATAAAGTAGAAGAGACTGTACAACTAAAAGGAAAGCGAAAAAAAAGAAACAGAAAACAAAGAGCAGATAAAAGGGCTGAAACTTTGGAAAAACAAGTTGGCCTACATGAACTAGTATATAAACAAGAACTATTAGAAATGAAAGCTATAACAGACACAAATGAAACAAAATTAGAAAGTGAACAGACAGAATTTAAAGCAGAACTTGAAGAAGTAAATATTGGCAACCTTTGGAATGAAGAACAGAGTAACATAGTCCAGGAAGAATTGAAACCCAAGGAAAAAACAGAGGTTGAACTTAATAATGATTTAAAGGTGACAGATACATTAGAATGTCTTAAGATTGACTCTTTATTGACTCAAACGCAGGTACACGAGAATATTATTGAAAGTTGTATCGTAAGTCCATCAGAGAATGGCAGTCAACAAGAAATAAGTCCATCAGATAATGGTAGTAAACAAGAAATAAGTCCATCAGTGAATGGCAGTCAAAATGATTTAATAAGCCCATCAGTCAATGGCAGTGATGATTTAATAAGTCCATCGGAGAATGGCAGGAATCATGATAAACTAATGATGATTAATGAATCAGTGAACTTAATAAGCCACAATGAAGAGAACGTACCTATTGAGGAGTTACTTAGAAAATTGGAGTCAAACTATAAAGAAGATATATTGGAACTCAAGAATAAATTTAACAAAGAAATGGAGAAATTAACACAGAAATTTATGTGTGAACTTGAATCAATAAAGAAGCACAAGGAAGTTAAGAAAGATGAAAAAATATCTACAAACTACAATGTCAATAAATTACAAACTGACAGTAAAAGAAACGTATCAAACTTTGAATACAGTCACCATGTTAATAAGAATGTCATTAATGTCATTAATGCACAGAATGAAAGAAAAAGAAATTTAGCAAACTATGAATACAGTCACCATGTTTATAAGAAGCCAAAATCTAGATGTTTTTACTGCGGAAAAACAGGTCATTACCAAAATCAATGTTGGCATAGGTTGGCAAATCAGAGAAGAAACAATTATGTACACAGAAAGTCATGTGAGAAATACAGTAATTTAAGAAATAATGTATCAAGTTCAAATCAGAATAACAAAAGTGTGAATAGGTATACTAATGGAAGTTACCGACGCAACACATATTATGAGAGGCCAAAGCAATGCCATAATATTTATATTAAGTTGGTTGATGAACCAAACGAACGTACACAAAGCAAGATAACTACTGACGTTGTTCAAAAACCAGAGGAGAATATTAAAACAAATGAAGTAACGCAAGTTACACGAAATCTAGGAAATGATTATGGTAGCACAGCTAAAAGCTACAATTTGAGGGAGAGATGGCATACAGGTCATCGTCAACTGCACGAGAACGATTACTCATGCTATAGAGGATGCTAGGATAAATTATCAATTGACAGTTTATTAATATTATACAGTCTGTAACTGTAATATATAAATATCAAATAATGTGTTTGAGTAAACATAAATTGTGTACTATATCTAAAGAATGTAAACTGTATTATGTTAAACCTATTCTATACTATTAATTAACAGGGAATAATGTATAAAGTAAAAGTTAGAGACTATTTATTCCGCATAACAATAAGACGGAAGTCTCAATGATGAATTGTGTATTAATCATTACCTGTGGAAGGCAAGAATGTTGTTGTGTTGTGACCTAGATATGACTGAAATGGGTCGACTAGGGGAGACAACAAAGTATATTACTCATGCGTGGTAATAACATGCCTTGATGATAAGGTTGTTTTTTCTTTACATAGGATATCATTATTTAATTCATGAGTTGAATTAAGTCTTTAAGTATTTTAACTATGTGTTATGTTTTGAAATTAAGTCCTGTACCAAATTAGTTTGGTATATTATTTATCCCAACTGATGTAGTTTTTTTTTTATACTACAGTTACTGGGTAATTGAAATGTTTTGTTCTCCTATGTGAATGTATATTGATGCATTAAATATTACATATAATGCTTGTACATTTAAAGTTTTTGTTCAAAACACTGACATATTTTAATTATCACTGATATAGTCACTACATACTGTTGTATTTGTATGCACTATAAATTTATGACTACAAGTGCTTAGTCTAAAATGAATATATTTTACTCTACTTTGAGTTGTACACAATTTTTTGTTGTCTGGCACATGATCCTGCCCTACCAATACTGTATTTATAAATTTTGTTGTCTGGCACATGATCCTGCCCTACTAATATTGTATTTATAAATTTTGTTACACAAAATTTTATTCGAAGGGGGGACGTGTCACAGACTGTATTATTATGTATCTTTATTATATTGTGTTTTGCATGAATGAAGAGTACCTGGCTAGCGGAAGGACTGTCTGAGCGATCGTCATGTGTTTTTCCGTGTTTTGGGTGAGATCGCTCATTGACGTAAAGGGAGAGAAAGTTGTGAATAAAAGAGAGAGCAAAAGGTGAACGGGTGTTGTGTGCTAGGACTTGGGACTGGAACGATGGCAGTGAATGTAAGATGTCTCCATGACTTGGAGTCGTGATTATTATTTGTACCTATATCAGTTGATCTTCAAATATGGATGTACCACGGATTTATCTGTACATAGTGTAAATAAAGTTGTCATTTGAAGTTGCCACTGTTGCTCGTGTTCCTGTATGAAAGCTAACCCACAACAACAGAGAATTCATGTTGTTACACTTTTTAAAAAGATTAGTAATGTCAGGAAAAAAAGCCTCGGTACAACATACTAATTTTTTTAGCTCTTAAAATTTCGGCAAGAGTATCACCTTTCACCCACCCGCTCCGACCGTATGCTATTTTACTGATCGGAATAGCGATACAAGAATCCGTGATATTTATTTCTCTTTAAATACAGTGATTCAAGCAAGGTGTAATCAAGTAAAAAGTATGTGATCTCTTACCTTACGTTGAAAGAATCGTAAGAATCGTAAAAAGAACTAGTCTAGTCATTTCTTTACAAACTGGCTAGTGAAATCGTACATTACGCGTTAATACAATCTATATATATAATTCTCTTCTGGGAGCCGTTAGAAAACAAGCTGCAAGCGCGCCTTACAATCCCCTCTCTTCCTCTCTATCGCTACCACCCCCACCCCCTCACATGGTCTGGTGAGCTGTGGTTCACGCTGTTTACATTTTACAATCATAGAGACGGGTTTGGTGACGGCTATTAGGGGCAGATAATTTAGTTTGAAACGATTTTAAACTTAGAGGAGGTAACTAAGAGGAGGCTGCTTTCACGTGGGGGGGGGGGGGGGGGGGAGAAGGGGGGTTTAGAGTTTTTAAGCAAATATTTTCAGTGGCAGCATTGGTACTGTCGAATTCACAAATTATAAATTACTGAAAAGTAGAAAAAAAACAACTAAATAGTGGCATATGATACGCAGCGGGTCGGCTCGTTGGTTTATATTCTAAGTATTAAACGATTTATCTAATCACCTTCCCATTTACCTGGCGAAAAAGCGCCCTAACCCACCACCTTTTTGTTATTTTACTGTTACACTATACACTTTAACACTATTGGCTTCTTTTCTAAGTGTTAAAAGAGTTACCCACTCACCAATCCAGTACAAATCCTTGCGTTGGTGTAAAAGACCCCCCCCCCCCACACATACACACACGCCTCCCCAACATCTTGGACAAAGTTGGTAGAGCGGGTTTTAACTTCAATAAATTTTTTAAAAATGTTACACAATCGTACAATACGCTTTAGTACAATTAGTTTCTTTTCTAAGTGAGAACGTTTATCTACTCACCAAATCAGTGTAAATCCTTGTAATTTAAGTTGACGAAATAGAGCCCCACCATCTTGATAAAAGTCATTACCTTTTATACGGTTACACAAACGTACAATAAGCATTAAACAATTGGTTTCTTTTATAAGTGTAACGTTTATCAACTAACCAATCTAGTGTAAATCCTTCCGATTTTAGTCTGCGAGAAAGGGCCCCTCCCCATCTAGGAAAAGCTGGAAAGCGGTTTATGTCAGTCACTGTTACTTAAAGGTATATGTTTTACAGTTACACAATCAAGGTAGGAAACAGTTAAATCAGTATGTAAAGGCTTGTAGCCATTTACATTTCTTAACGTCGACTGTTTATAATTCAAAACTTCGGCATAAAATCAGCTTTAAAAAATGCTTCCCTTTTGGCGCCCCCCAGGGGCGGCCGCTCCCCCCCCTCTACCACCCGCCCTCCCCTAGCTACGCCTCTGTTTACATACACTGTGTACATTAACTGCAGTAGCAGTTTAGGTCTACAGTATTAAACACTACATTGATAAAAAATGTAATTTTTTTTAGCTTTTTAAAATTTTGTTTGGTTACCAAAAAATAAAAATAAAAAACATTAAATACCTCCAAACTTGAATAAAGTAGGGAGATATAAAACGGCGAAAACTGTCAAAGTATAATATGTTAATTTAATTATTCAGGACAAGTTCAATATTTCCTCTAATTGTTAGTTTAATTCAATATTATGAGACAGTTTGCGTTCATTGTTATTGTTTGTTAGATTCATTACATGTTTTAACGTATATTAAGTGCATTTTTTCATGTAATTAGTGATTCAATCATACATGACGACACGTTTTTTGACCTTTCATCAAATTTTCCCATTATATTAAAAAAAAACACCTTGTTACCTGTGCGCTTTTTTTTCCCATTGCGCACCGATACTTTGATTACCATATTAGTTAGGTAGACCAAATTTTCTACATAGGTACATACAACCTTATTCAGTTGATTCTGTCAAATTTTAAGAGATTTCGGGTGATCAAAAGTAGTACTTTTTACTATGACCAATTTCACAAAAAAAAAATATCACTTCTGATTGATTTCTTTAAAATATTTCAAGTAGATCATGATTCAACGACAATGCACTGTGATATAAAATGTAACTTAATTAGATATTTAATTAATTTTTGAAAAACTAATTTTCCGCTTTATTTTACACACAGTTTGCGTAAATTGCATTCATTTAGTGCACAATTCTATTTCAACTCGATTCTATTGAATTTGAAAAATGTAAGTAGATATATTAAAAGTAAAATTTCTTTACCCCGATAGCAGCGCACCCCCCCCCCCCCCCTCGACACCAGGAACCACACAAACTACCACTGGCGTAGGCATAATAACTGCTAAGTAAGTTAAACCAGTTGGCGAAGGTGGAATTCTGTTGCTAGTGTTTAATGCTTCTACACCAAACACTCATGGTCACCTTTGCCTTTTGAACAACTCTCCCACTCCACTTTCATCTATTAATTTAGTGTCAATTGTTGTGCAGCATTCCTAGCTAGTTCTATCTTTTTATGATTCCCTTTTCTAATTAGGTTAGTTTCTGATTACAGTGTCAAATTAATCTAAGCTATTAGACTGTCTCTTTATAACTACATTCCACATCTCCATAATAAGGTACTAATAACTATAGGGTACACCCATGGGTAATCTTGCACCTGCATTTTATTAACCTGTTGCAACTACAGCACTGACTTCAACAGCATATCAGGGCACCAAAAAGCACTGGTTCAAGTATATACTTTCTACATAAATTTTATATTTTTCAATTTCATTAGGGGTGGGGTGGGAAAGAAACTGCCCCCCCCCCCCTCCCCCATAGAGATATCTGAAAGAAACTGAATACACTGATATAGAATTGCCAGCACTGTCTCTCCAGAGCAAAATAAGAATCGTCAACACAAATCTTAAGGCATTACTGCTTTATGCCTCAGAATCCTGGAGGGTTATTATTTTTTTATTAAAGGTCGTAAATGAGGATGGATCGGGCATGCCTTGAGAAGATAACAACATAACAAGGCAAGCATTGGAATAGAGCCCCGGGTTAAAAGATTAGTACCAAAGCTATAATAGAAAAGGTCTGGAAGAAGAAGCAAGGGCTGCTGGGTGTCCAGGGAAGAGGTATTGCCACAGCCCTATGCTCAGCAGGGGACGTAATGGATTTAGTCAATGAAAATACTGATCTACCTAATCTAATAATCAAGTTAAATTTTATAAAGTCCGCCACTCAATGACTCATAAAAAAAATGAAATTGATTCCAATTGAGATTATCATAGCCCTGGCATAAACCACAGCTCAACTTTTGAATTTTTCTTTACCCTATAACATGTAACTATGGCCTCATAAATTTCCTGGTCTGTTAGGACAGTTAAAAAAATTAACAAAGAAAATCATGACATTAAGAACTTTAATGCTAACAGAAAACTAATAAAACTTTCAACGATGTTTTTTACAAAGGTCATCTGCTGTACAGAACATACCACAAGACCTAAGCTGGCCTCAAAAGATAGGTATCACAACATTCAAGAACATATTTTAGAGCTGCATTTTTTTTAGATCTAAGAAAGGTTAGGGATAAAAAATAAAATACATTTACCACAGTAGTCAAACTTGGAAGGCTTCTTTCCTATATGTGTTCTAAGGTGTGCCTTTAAAGTCTGATTCTTAAAAAACATCTTCCACAATTATCACACTTTAAAAGTTATTCTTCTAAATGAATTCCTTTTATGTTGCAAAGAGTTGTACTTGCAAAACATTTACCACACTTTTAAGGCTTCTCTCTTTTATGAATTCTAAGGTGGTTTTGTAAAGTAGTATTATATGTGAAACTTTTTACCAAGCTGAGTAAAACATTTACCACATTTGTCACAATTCTAAGGCTTCTCTCACTTGTGAATTCTAAGGTGTCTTGTTATTTCACAAAGAGTAGTAAAACCGTTACCACATTTGTCACACTTGTATTGTTTTGCTTTTGAAGGAGTTCTATGGTGTTGCTTTAAGGTACCTAACTGGGTAAAACATTTACCACATTGATCACATTAGTACGGCTTCTCTCCTGTGTGAACTCTTTGGTGAATCTTTAAGTTACTCATCTGGTTAAAACATTTACCACATGTATCACACTTGTAAGGTTTTTCTCCTGAATGAGTTTTATTGTGTTCCTTTAAATAGCGTGTTCTTGCAAAACATTTACCACAATTGTCACATTTATAAGGCTTCTCTCCTGTATGAATTCTATTGTGTATCTTTAATTTGCCAGACTGGGGATAACCTTTACCACAAATGTCACACCTGTAAGGCAATTCACCAATATGAATTCTAAGGTGTCTTGTTATTTCACGAAGAGTGGTAAAACTTTTACCACATTTGTCACACTTGTATCGCTTTGCTTTTGAATGAGTTCTATGGTGTTGCTGTAAGTGACCTAACCGGGTAAAACATTTACAACATATGTTACATTTGTAAGGCTTCTCTCCTGTATGAATTCTACGATGACGCTTAAGGTACCTACGCTTCATAAAACATTTACCACAATGGTCACACTTGTAAACCTTTTCATCTGTATGAATTTTAAGGTGTGTATTTAATTGACTAATCTGTGTATAACATTTACAACATTGGTCACACTTGTAAGGCTTTTCTCCTAGATGAGTTCTAAGGTGTATCTTTATACGATAGAATCTTGCAAAATATTTACCACAAGTTTCACACTTGTGAAGCTTTTTTCCTCTATGAATTCTACGTTGTTGATGAAAGTTTGATAACTGATAAGAATGTCCACTGTTGTTAACTGTGAGATCCAGACCTTTATTGTCAATGTTTTCCCCTTCATGTTTCTTTTTTAAATGTGAATTTAAAAAGGAAAGTTTTGAAAAAGCCAAACTGCAATGCTGACACTGATAGATATCTGTAACAATATCTGTAAAAGATATATGACAGCATTGAGGGTTTGTACTGTCTTAAATAGACACAGTGTGGCCAGATTATAGAGTGCTTGACTGCTAACCAAAGTCTCAAAGCACCACTGCCTTTACTTTCCTTAACATGAGATAGGTACCCATCACAGTTGGGTGGATTCAAGGACAATCAACTCACTTGAACTCAGATTTGAACTCAAGACTTCTGGGTTAACAGCCTAGCGCTCTATAACTTAGGCCACAACGTCCCTTCAATTAGACATTTGCTTTTCTATTTTGTATTGTCTGATAAAGTCTAGCATGAATTGTAAAAATTGTCATGAGGTAGAACAAATCAATTTTTAAAGATAGCATTATTAGATATCAGAGATGTGTGTACTGAAGAACAATCAATTCAATAAAAATAATTGAGTAAACTCTATTTACCACAGTCATTGTTCACAACACCAACCTTCTGTACCTGAATACTCAGGTCTCTGGTATAATTGTCACCATAGTACACCTAAAAATTTGAGAATACTAAGCTATACTAGTTAAGTAAAATCTAACATGATTCTCAGTAAAATACACTCTTCTATAGCAGTTAAATATAGTTGTCACCATAGTAACCTGAAAATGTCAAATACTGTTCCTTACTAGTTAAATAAAGACATTCAATCCATTAAAACAGATGGTGTAGTGTCGTCCGGCATTTCTAACCAAATCAAGTATTTTATTATACTTTTCATGTAAATCAATGGTCAATTTTATAAAAATCCAACTTTAGACATGTCTAAAAACTAATATACTCGTTTGTGTCATATACGCTTAAATGCTTCTCAGTGGTGGAACAAGAAGGGCCCTAATTCACCCCCCGACAAAAGTGTTAATCAAGCCTTTTATTTTATTTATATGGGTACATTTATATTTATTTATAAAAAAGGCATAAGTTATGTTGTATAGCCAGCAGACTATATCCACTATAGAAATGCAAACGCCTCAAACAGATCAGGTTCATTTTTTTCATATTGGTGCATTATAAGACTAGGAGTGTTGATAATATTCATTATTTCAGTAAGGTTTGAGTTAGGATACGCTAAAGTTGGATTCCTTTATTGTTTTGGTAGATTTTGAGGTACATTTAAATGGGTGAGATATTAAGTTTAGATGGAGATTGGGTAAGTGTTGTTAAATTTCAAAATGATAAAAAAATTGACTTGGTTTATCAAACGGTTCCGTTAAGATATTTGAGTTAAAAAAAAATAGTAACATAGTTTGTGGCAATTTTATCGGTTGAAGTATTTTGCAATATAATTTAATTTTTCAATCGAATGTGTAATGGGTAGATTGGAATTTGTGTTGGTTTAAATGTGTAAGTACATCAAAACCCTGGTCAAATTTTAAAAAATTAATTAATTACACATTTAGCTTATTTTAAATTGAATATTTACATAGTTAATATGTTTTAAGTTAAGGTTCTGTTAGAGCTACTGATAAATTAAACCAAGTTACAGTTAAGGAGGCAGTCTATTATTGGTATCACATTCTTGAAAGTGATGAGGTCAATTTTGAAAATATGGTTGACCAGCAGAAAGGGACAGTGGAATAAAACAGTGTCAGAAGATTGACATATTTATATTTAAAATACATTTTATTTACTTAACAGTTTAAAATCAAAAACTGTAATATTACATATTCAGTAAAATTACATGTGAAAAATCCAAGTAATATTTTCACTGCTTAGACTTAATCATTACATTGAAATATTTCATCATAAATAATAAAATAACCTCCTTTATTTTTTGTGAACAAATAACTGATGTTAATTTTCAACTTTAAATGTTTTCCCTAAAAAGTGATCTGCACTAGATATTATTGGATTACTCTGCCTAAATAAGGACTGTTAAGTTCACTCCTTATTAAAATGTACCAGATTGCTATTACTTGCCTAATTAAGTAGTGGTTTGTTTTTTAAATTGCCATATGCAAAAAAAAAATAATTAAAATCTATAAATCAATTAAAAGCTCTAACCCTTCACCCCCCCCCCCCCACACATTTTATTAGAAGTACTAACCCTCCAACCCCCCATCACTCAAATTTTATGGCGTAAACAAGACAGTTACCAGTATCTCTGAGCCCGCAACAATGTCCCTATGAGCCATATAGTACATTTCACCATTGTGCTGGTATGCTGTGACACACTGCTCATCCTCATAACGTGCACATTTTACGAATCTCATCCAGTTTAAAACAGAGCTGTCACTGGCATCAACAAAATGGGACAATTTCCCATTCTTGAAGAAAAATAAAAATATTACACTTTGTTTTGCATGAAAGTAAAGTTCAAATAAAAGAAATCTCATTGCCTGATGAAATGTGTTCTTTAAAAATCAAAGTTTAAACAAATACAAATTTCATGGAGTAAAAGATCTCAGAAAAAGTTGGCTAAGAAAGGGATAGCATCAAACCTCAATAAGACTTTAGTTTTTAAATTTGAGAATTTAAAACTATTTCACTTTGCCTTCAACCAGGCAAATGACATATTTACTTTTAAAAAACAAATTATTTTAAAATACCCAAATAAAAATATAAAAATAAAAAAATAAAGCAAATTATATAGGAAAATGGTTGAAGCTTTTTGTGTGTGAATTTACCAATAATAAATAAAAATAATATTCATCCCATAAAAAACATAAATAAAAAGCTACTTCTGACATTAACTTCCTCGAGTATTCTTATATAACACTACGGGGGATGGCACCTCGGGATATAGACAGTATTTTTAATCCGTTTTCAATTACTTATTAAAATAGAATAGAATCTCGTAGAAAAAAGAATTGCACACCAAGTTAACACCAAATCAAATGTGTATAATAGTGCGGAATATTATTAGTACTTTATAAATTTACATGCGTTTTTTGAGAAATCGGAAATAGCGTAAATTACTACTTCTGGTCAATGGAAATTACTCATAATTTGAGAGAAGTCAGAGAATTAGATCTTTTACTTTCATGTAAAATTTCGTTTATCTATCTGAAACAGTACTCAAGTTATAGGCTTTTGAAAAACTGAAAGTAAAATAAGTTCCACTTCTGGTTATCAGAAATCGCTGAAAAGTTGATACAGAACTAAAAATTTGATATTATACTTAAATATGAAATTTCATCAACCTAGTTGTATCAGCACTCAAGTTATCGTGTTTACAAACATACAGACATATGGACAAAATTGCAAAACTATGTTTTTCCGAATCAGGGAGGTGTAAAACGTCGAGATCTGTGAAAATCTCGATTTTTTTTTTTTGCGCGATTATAATACTTCCTCTATACTTCATATATGAGAAAGTAAAAATTTAGTCACTGGAACTACTTTCTTTTTCAATATCATAATACTAATCAAATTAATATATCCTGATTCAACATCCAAGGTCATTTATTCACTTTTCAATTTCAATATTTATATTGCTTGTAATTTTTAACAAAAAGTTCTTAACTTTAGGAAAATTAACCGCTAGTGATAGCACAATGAGAAAACAATGTAAATAAAACTTATTATTTCACACTTATAAATTGTGTTACCAATTAGACTTTCATTACTACACATAATTAAACTATACATAATTCAGGGGAATACTGATGCAACAGACTGTACCACAAATCAAAATTCTAGGGATACCACAGTCAAATAGGACTGCTGTAAAGGGTTAAACATCTATTAATAATATCTGTTCTGGTGCATTTGAATGTACCAGAAAGTATAACATAAAAATTTTGTCAATCATTAGTGAGTAAAGGTTAATTAGATTGTGCTTACCTCCCAACAATACTCAGAGCCATGTGCCATTTGCTGGATGCTCTCTGTCTTCACATCAAATGCCCCAAACCTTGTCCCGGCAGGAAAAAATCTTGTGGCAAAAACTCCAAGTCCAGTGCCAGGTATGTCTGATGTTTTAATCATCAGGCCAGGGGGCAGAGTTGTCCTACAATAATCTTTGTCCTCACCATTGATGGAGTCTGGTGGAACCTGTTTAACAATACAAAACAATATTATAGATGTTCTGTAATAATCTGCTTCTGTCTGTAACTTGTTAAAGAATAATACTTTACCTAGGCCTACAAGGGATCAAAGTCTGGTTAATATTATCATAATATGTGTTGGTAAAATGAAGATAGTCAGCTATGTTACACATAAGGTCCACTATAATTTTTTTTGTAATTATATTTTTAAATTTGACAAGAAGAGAGGGGACACATGTTGTTACTGAAGATGCAAGTAGACTAGCACTTTTGCCATTTTAACGCATCATCAAGGTCTGTCAAAGTTTTCCACTGCCACAGCTCTGAGCCGTAGAGCAGGACTGCTTTAAAATAATGTTAACTTACTAAATGTAAAAATCTACTCCAGGAACCAAAGGTTTCCACAAAAAGATAAAACATATTTTATGATATTTATGCTGGTGTTGATTAAGATTTTTACAAAAGGCAAAAGTATAACCATTTAGGCATATTTTTAATAGTATATTCTGGGTATAATCTCTCAAAGTAGAAGTTGTACTTTACCTGTGAATCTGATTCAATTTTTATAGGACCATGTTCAGTGCAATATCCTGTGTATTCCATGCTGCCCGTTTCACAAACTGAAACACAAATGTAAGCAATTTAAACCACAGACAAATGCAGTTGAACAACAAATCCTCCTCAATATGTGAAATAATTATTAAAATTTAAGGAGTCACCTGTTTTTCACATTACAAAACGATAGATTACCGATAACTCAATAAAATGTCCTGAAATTTTCCTTTGACAATAATGTTAGGAATTGTTCAAGAAAGTAAAATTAAACTTTGCTCGATCTAGAACAGCAGCCATCTTAAGTCTGTCTTAAGATTTTAGAGTAATTTCCCTTTAATTTAATATTTATGACTTATGTGGATACTAGCCGTCGGTACTCGTTACATCGCGGTTAGAGCGGTCATCCATTAATGACGTCCACAAAAATTTGGAATTTTATATATATATATATATATATAAATGAGTGTGTGTGTGTTTAAATGTGCATGTTTGTGTGCGACAGTCCGGTAAAGATTTAATAGTTACTGTGTATGATTTTCGTTCCCTAAAAATTTACTCGACGACAATTAAATTCCCCTTAAGATGCGTTATCCTTTTTAAAAAGATTAGTAATGTCAGGAAAAAAAGCCTCGGTACAACATACTAATTTTTTTAGCTCTTAAAATTTCGGCAAGAGTATCACCTTTCACCCACCCGCTCCGACCGTATGCTATTTTACTGATCGAATAGCGATACAAGAATCCGTGATATTTATTTCTCTTTAAATACAGTGATCCAAGCAAGGTGTAATCAAGTAAAAAGTATGTGATCTCTTACGTTGAAAGAATCGTAAGAATCGTAAAAAGAACTAGTCGAGTCATTTCTTTACAAACTGCAGGCTAGTGAAATCGTACATTACGCGTTAATACAATCTATATATATATAATTCTCTTCTGGGAGCCGTTAGAAAACAAGCTGCAAGCGCGCCTTACAATCCCCTCTCTTCCTCTCTATCGCTACCACCCCCACCCCCTCACATGGTCTGGTGAGCTGTGGCTCACGCTGTTTACATTTTACAATCATAGAGACGGGTTTGGTGACGGCTATTAGGGGCAGATAATTTAGTTTGAAACGATTTTAAACTTAGAGGAGGTAACTAAGAGGAGGCTGCTTTAACGTGGGGGGGGGGGGGGGGGGGGGAAGGGGGGTTTAGTTTTTTAAGCAAATATTTTCAGTGGCAGCATTGGTACTGTCGAATTCACAAATTATAAATTACTGAAAAGTAGAAAAAAAAAACAACAACTAAATAGCGGCATATGATACGCAGCGGGTCGGCTCGTTGGTTTATATTCTAAGTATTAAACGATTTATCTAATCACCTTCCCATTTACCTTGGCGAAAAAGCGCCCTAACCCACCACCTTTTTGTTATTTTACTGTTACACTATACACTTTAATACTATTGGCTTATTTTCTAAGTGTTAAAAGAGTTACCCACTCACCAATCCAGTACAAATCCTTGCGTTGGTGTAAAAGACCCCCCACACACACACATACACACACGCCTCCCCAACATCTTGGACAAAGTTGGTAGAGCGGGTTTTAACTTCAATAAATTTTTTAAAAATGTTACACAATCGTACAATACGCTTTAGTACAATTAGTTTCTTTTCTAAGTGAGAACGTTTATCTACTCACCAAATCAGTGTAAATCCTTGTAATTTAAGTTGACGAAATAGTGCCCCACCATCTTGATAAAAGTCATTACCTTTTATACGGTTACACAAACGTACAATAAGCATTAAACAATTGGTTTCTTTTATAAGTGTAACGTTTATCAACTAACCAATCTAGTGTAAATCCTTCTGATTTTAGTCTGCGAGAAAGGGCCCCTCCCCATCTAGGAAAAGCTGGAAAGCGGTTTATGTCAGTCACTGTTTCTTAAAGGTATATGTTTTACAGTTACACAATCAAGGTAGGAAACAGTTAAATCAGTATGTAAAGGCTTGTAGCCAATACATTTCTTAACGTCGACTGTTTATAATTCAAAACTTCGGCATAGAATCAGCTTTAAAAAATGCTTCCCTTTTGGCGCCCCCTAGGGTCGGCCGCTCCCCCCCTACCACCCGCCCTCCCCTAGCTACGCCTCTGTTTACATTCACTGTGTACATTAACTGCAGTAGCAGTTTAGGTCTACAGTATTAAACACTACATTGATAAATAAAACCGGGAGTGATCTCCCCTAAACTTTCTCGAATATTCTTATATATAAAATAACAGGGGATGGGAACTCGGGCTATAGACATGATTTTTACAAGCTTTTATTTAACTCACTTCCTCTGTCGTCAGTCGTCAGTCTGTCTAGACGGAAACGCAGGAGTGAAAATTCGAAAACTTCTACTTGAACGATACGATTCACACTTGACTTGGGTCAAGACATGAAGACAATGCAATCTGAAACTAAATTTGACTTAATTGGATGCCTAATTAATTTTTTATGAATTAATTAAAATTTGGACCGAATTAGTAGGCATGTCTAGCCAACCACACCACACGCGTCATCACCTTCAATAGCTGCGCCATCACGTAATGGCTGCGTTCAAAAACCATTGCGCGCCTACTGAACGTGATGTTCAGTAGGCGCGCAATGGTTTTTAGTCATGTAACTATTGTAAATAAAACATGTAAAGTACTGAAAAAAAAATCATAAAAAACGTTTTAATAACAAGCTTTTATGTAATAATGCACTAAAAAGTAGAAAATAAATTATAGACTATTATTTAAATAACTATAAAGAAAAGCGTGGGTGTCTTCCTTAACATTAGTAACGGTATCCAATAGATACTAAAGTGACCCACGCTTTTCTTTATAGTTATTTAAATAGTAGTCTATAATTTATTTTCTACTTTTTAGTGCATTATTACATAAAAGCTTGTTATTAAAACGTTTTTTATGATTTTTTTTTACAAGCTTTTATTTAACTCACTTCCTCTGTCTGTCGTCAGTCTAGACGGAAACGCAGGAGTGAAAATTCGGACAGTTCTACTTGACAGATACGATTCACAGTTGGCACGTGGGTCAAGACATGAAGACAATGCAATCTGAAACTAAATTTGACTTAATTGGATGCCTAATTAATTTTTTATGAATTAATTAAAATTTGGACCGAATTAGTAGGCATGTCTAGCCAACCACACCACACGCGTCATCACCTTCAATAGCTGCGCCATCACGTAATGGCTGCGTTCAAAAACCATTGCGCGCCTACTGAACGTGATGTTCAGTAGGCGCGCAATGGTTTTTAGTCATGTAACTATTGTAAATAAAACATGTAAAGTACTGAAAAAAAATCATAAAAAACGTTTTAATAACAAGCTTTTATGTAATAATGCACTAAAAAGTAGAAAATAAATTATAGACTATTATTTAAATAACTATAAAGAAAAGCGTGGGTGTCTTCCTTAACATTAGTAACGGTATCCAATAGATACTAAAGTGACCCACGCTTTTCTTTATAGTTATTTAAATAGTAGTCTATAATTTATTTTCTACTTTTTAGTGCATTATTACATAAAAGCTTGTTATTAAAACGTTTTTACAAGCTTTTATTTAACTCACTTCCTCTGTCTGTCTTGACGGAAACGCAGGAGTGAAAATTCGGACAGTTCTACTAGACCGACACGATTCACAGTTGGCACGTGGGTCAAGACATGAAGACAATGCAATCTGAAACTAAATTTGACTTAATTGGATGCCTAATTGATTTTTTATGAATTAATTAAAATTTGGACCGAATTAGTAGGCATGTCTAGCCAACCACACCACACGCGTCATCAATAGCTGCGCCATCACGACCACGTAATGGCTGCGTTCAAAAACCATTGCGCGCCTACTGAACGTGATATTCAGTAGGCGCGCAATGGTTTTTAGTCATGTAACTCTATTGTAGATAAAACATGTAAAGTACTGAAAAAAAATTCATAAAAAACGTTTTAATAACAAGCTTTTATGTAATGATGCACTAAAAAGTAGAAAATAAATTATAGACTACTATTTAAATAACTATAAAGAAAAGCGTGGGTGTCTTCCTTAACATTAGTAAAGGTATCCAATAGATACTAAAGTGACCCACGCTTTTCTTTATAGTTATTTAAATAGTAGTCTATAATTTATTTTCTACTTTTTAGTGCATCATTACATAAAAGCTTGTTATTAAAACGTTTTTTATGAATTTTTTTTATGATTTTTTTTTACAAGCTTTTATTTAACTCACTTCCTCTGTCTGTCGTCAGTCTAGACGGAAACGCAGGAGTGAAAATTCGGACAGTTCTACTTGACAGATACGATTCACAGTTGGCACGTGGGTCAAGACATGAAGACAATGCAATCTGAAACTAAATTTGACTTAATCGGATGCCTAATTAATTTTTTATTAATTAATTAAAATTTGGACCGAATTAGTAGGCATGTCTAGCCAACCACACCACACGCGTCATCAATAGCTGCGCCATCACGACCACGTAATGGCTGCGTTCAAAAACCATTGCGCGCCTACTGAACGTGATATTCAGTAGGCGCGCAATGGTTTTTAGTCATGTAACTCTATTGTAGATAAAACATGTAAAGTACTGAAAAAAAAAATTCATAAAAAACGTTTTAATAACAAGCTTTTATGTAATGATGCACTAAAAAGTAGAAAATAAATTATAGACTACTATTTAAATAACTATAAAGAAAAGCGTGGGTGTCTTCCTTAACATTAGTAAAGGTATCCAATAGATACTAAAGTGACCCACGCTTTTCTTTATAGTTATTTAAATAGTAGTCTATAATTTATTTTCTACTTTTTAGTGCATCATTACATAAAAGCTTGTTATTAAAACGTTTTTTATGAATTTTTTTTTAATCCATTTTAAATACTTAAAGTTTTAAAAATAGAACAAAATCTAGTAGACAAAAGAATTGCACACCAAGTGAACGCAAAATAAAAAAAAGTGCATAATAGTGCGCAATATTATTAGTACTTTAAAAATTTACATTAGTTTTTTGAGAAATCGGAAGTAGCGTAAATTACTACTTCCGGTCAA